TTACCATATTGATTCAACTTAAAACAAAATATCTGCATCAATTCCTTCCACCGTCACCTTTCACAAATAAACAATGGACTGACATGATTCTGGTTTAACCCAAAGGCCTATGCATTTTTCTGAGATATTGACATCAAACAGAAACAATATTCTGGAACATTTAAAATGTCTACAACTAAAACAAACCAAAAAAAAAGAAAAGAAAAAAAAAAAAAAAAAAAAAAAGAGAAAGAGAGAGAGAGAGAGAGAGAGAGAGAGAGAGAGTAAATCATGTGATATGCGTTTTTGTCTCGGGCCCTCAAAATCTATAGTCAAATAACGAACCAGTCCAAGTTCTATTCTACCAGCATTCACTTGGCAAGCTGTCCGTTGGAAGAGATGTCTCCATCACCCAACAACTTGCCATAGCCAGATAGTTTTGTATTACCTGCTCCTATGTCTTCTTTTTTCTTTCTTTCTTTTCTTTAATCACAGGACATTCTTGTCACCTGCCCCTCAGCCAATATTTATCAAGACAAAACATTCATATCAGATGGAAAAGTCAATGGAGGTTGCCTGATGTAGTCTTATTCTGGATATTTACCGATTCATCTACTATAAATAGTTTCTCTAGCTGAACCAGTACTATAAACCCAAAAAACTTAATTTCAATTATTTGTTACTTGCAGTCTGCTTAGGCTATGTATAGATGAATGACATGATTCCATATAGTGTGGTGTAATTCTTCATTCAAACTAGTAGCTAAAAATATAACAACAAATAAACATTACATAACACTAGAATAAAGCACCTAAAATATTCATGATTTTACATTACATCAAATAATGTAACCTTAAAAAATCATTATGAAATATAACCTCGGTTTATATCAAATACCTAGCAACGTTTCTACGGAATTAAAATGGGTTGTTATTGATGGCAAAATGTACTATGGTTCAGTATAATTGAAAAATCTTTTAAATTTGAAAAAAATTGATTGGCATAGGCCAACCCATGCTGCGTGATAAATAGGCATTATGACAACTTTGCACGGCAAACAATTAAGAAAGGGAGAACTCTGCGATGAAAACAGAAAAGCTGTGCAATAATCTTCCAGTCTGGTATATCTATATCTTTATCAATCTATATATAAACACAGAATTTCTCTCTCTACTAGCCTAGTTTTTTTTTTTTTTTGCTTCAAATCCAATTACTATTTTGGTTACTCAGCATAATTTACCAAAATTAGGAATTATTACTCTCCTTTCCATTCTGTGCAAAGTAAACATCAAGCTGAGAGAGTAATCGCCAGTATTTCAACATTCTCCGCAATAAAAACCTCCATTGATCAATAACAAAGGGAATCAAAACCATGACAGCACTTTCTACAAAGAAAAATCTGACTCATGCTTACAAACAAACAAGCAAAAATCAATAACCCAATACAAGCATACACTAGCACACTGTAGAAAATTACTTATCATATGAATAACTAATACATGCCCTAAAATATCGCTAGGTTGGAGCAGAGAAACAAGATAAACAAATGCATAATACTGTTAGACATTATCGCCCTTTTGTTTATCATGTTATCTATGTAATATAGCGACTGTCGTCATGACGCTCGTGAATCCAAATTTTATCACAAATCACAATATGCAAAACAACAAAAAACAACCAAACCTAACCATACATAATTCTAACAAATAAACCAAAACAAAACCTTAAAAAAAATCCCTTCAACAAACAATTCCACCTAAAAATCCTATCAAAATCCCTTTAGATTAATAATGCACCTATGAATGGTTAATAGAAATAAACACACGATCAATTCTCTTCATAAATATCTTTGTGTGAGAGGTCTGTATCACCGTTTTACCTGGAAATTGGCAAGGATTTCATCTCTGTTGGCCATTGTTTGTCTCCTTTGTCGCGTGTGACCGGAGCCTCGAAATTCAGGAAGCAGCTGCTCTGTGAAACGTTTCCGGCTTCGAACTTCAGGTCTTATTCGCACCGCAATTCATTTCTTATTCGCACTCTACAAAATACTTTTCTGCGATACAAATTATCTTTATAATCATGGTCTTACTCGAATTTATCTTCTCATCAAACTTTAGTTCTCCTTCAAATTGATTATTTACTCACTCAAATAGTCTTATTTCAACTTTGTATTATACGATTATCTCCGATATGCTTATTCATTCGTCTTGTGCCTATTCGCACAATCTTATTCACACGAGTTTCCCTTTTCCTTTCTTTCTGTAGCAAATAAGATTCATTTTTGATCGTCAGTTTATTCAGTGCTATTATCTTATTTCCATTTTGTTGTTTTTGTAAAGAATTGAGGTTTTCTAGATATAGAATTAGGCCATCGTTTTAATTTTGTTGTGCGAATAAAGAAATGTTTGTTTTTCTTTGCCAATTCGTATAGAATATTTCACATTCCTTTTGCCTGACTAACTCTTTCAATAATTATTATAAATGTCAAATGTCAAAAAGTGTTAACTGAAATGTTAGGAGA